TACCCTAGCGGCTGATTAGGACGTGGTTTAGTTCTGGTTTCAAATGACAACATCATTGAGCAGCTCTGGGGTGATCTCAAAAATGCAATTCAGGCAAGGCAGCCCGTGCATTTACAGAAACTTTACCATCAAAGAGGATAAAGAACCTCATCCACAAGAATTCAAGTTAATGTATTCTTGTATGGAAAGACAAACTGTTAACCCAAGAAATGCAACAGTAAAAAACACTTAGAGCCATTGGTCCATAAGGCGCAGATGGCCAATGTCCATAAATGTTGATAAATGTCCATAAACGTTGCGTGTCCGGGATCACCACTAATGTCTTTTTTGTTAGACCCTCACAGCGGTCCAACAACCACCAAGACTCCAAGTTGTCACAGAAGCTATACCCAATTTTATTCTAATGAGTTCATAAAAATGCTTATTACTACAAACGAGTTGCATTATAATCCGTAATGTAATGTAAAACTTGAGTTCATTGATTCAGCTGTGGATGAATTCAGCCGTAAAAAGTGCTGAGTAGAGACTTAGCGTGACGCCCGCTCTCCTCCAATCACAGAACAGGCTGCGTCCTCTAGCCTCTACAGCGCTGCTAAACACAGTAGCATGTTAGCATAAGTGGCTATAACTCCTCTGGCTGTAACTGCAGACACAGCAAAGCAGCCCAAACCACACAACAGTGAGGAAGAGAAGAGGAACTAAAGCCACAACATGATCAAAGAAGAAACCAATCTACACTCGGACCGTCTACGCTCGGACCATCTACGCTCGGACCATCTACGCTCGGACGATCTACGCTCGGACCATCTACGCTCGGACCATCTACGCTCGGACCATCTACGCTCTGACTATCTGCGCTCGGACTATCTACGCTCGGACTATCTACGCTCGGACTATCTACGCTCGGACTGTCTACGCTCTGACTATCTACGCTCTGACTATCTACGCTCTGACTGTCTACGCTCGGACTATCTACGCTCGGACTATCTACGCTCGGACTATCTACGCTCGGACTATCTACGCTCTGACTGTCTGCGCTCGGACTATCTGCGCTCGGACTATCTACGCTCGGACTATCTACGCTCGGACTATCTGCGCTCGGACTATCTGCGCTCGGACTATCTACGCTCTGACTATCTGCGCTCGGACTATCTACGCTCTGACTATCTACGCTCTGACTATCTACGCTCTGACTATCTACGCTCTGACTATCTACGCTCGGACTATCTGCGCTCGGACTATTTACCCTCGGACTATCTACCCTCGGACTATCTACGCTCTGACTATTTATGCTCGGACTATTTACGCTCGGACTATCTACCCTCGGACTATCTACGCTCTGACTATCTACGCTCTGACTATCTACGCTCTGACTATCTACGCTCTGACTATCTACGCTCGGACTATCTGCGCTCGGACTATTTACCCTCGGACTATCTACCCTCGGACTATCTACGCTCTGACTATTTATGCTCGGACTATTTACGCTCGGACTATCTACCCTCGGACTATCTACGCTCTGACTATTTATGCTCGGACTATCTACGCTCGGACTGTCTACGTGTCACAGTGCTCCCGCAGACAGTCCGACATACGCTCGGACTATCTACGCTCGGACCACATTCGGACGTGAAACTTGCCGTAATCTTTCAGTTATATATTTTGTTAGCAGCGTGTTGCTTTTGTACCATTTCATCAGTGATTGTTGTACAGCTTAAGTTGCGCTAATGGTAGCATCAGATCGCAAATACAACTAGAAGGCTCTGCGTATTGGAAATGAGAAGCCTCTGGGCGAGTCTGGAGGCGGTGCTAAACATTCAAACCTTGCATAAACTGGTATAGCTCCTTTAAAGTGGTAATATCCAAACACTCTATTGAGAACTGGTGGAGACTTTGAAAAGAAATGGCTTCACACAACCACTAACAATGAGTGAAAAAACTATTTGATAGTGTATGAACCTTCAAGCTGTCTTAAACTTTTCCTGACTTGTCGAGTATGTAATTTTACAATATTTGAAAGCCCCTCCACCTCTGTGCTGCTGTGCGGGTCCCCGGGGCCCCAGGACACACTCTGACATCCTCGTAAACATTTAAAGAAGCAAACAGACGTCACCAGCTTCAAACACAAAGACTTCTCCTAACTCCCAAACATGCATCCGTCCCCCCCTTCATCTGTCAACCCAGTTTACACAAGGATATTTCATACGGCCAGGTTAATTGTTATTCTAGGCTCAGTTCTTTTGGCAGTGCTGCAGAAGTATGTGAGGATTCCCACATGAGAACAAGCATCTGGAAAAGACGTTATCTCCTCGAACACACGGTTTACTCAGATCTGTCCACAACACTCTACTTCAAGTTTCAATGTGTTTTAGAATGAGAAAATCAACATTTATAGTGAGGAAAGAAATGATCTTGAGAGGTGTAACGCTTACACCTAGTGGTAGAAATGGTAAATAACTAGGGCTGGAGTTGACTAGTTTATACTGCTTTGTGAGTTGAGAAAAAATATCTGTCGGGTTTGAGTTGATGGCCGCTGCGGTGATATGTAAGTAAGTAAGTGCTGCATTCTAACACAAGTAATAAAGTTACTCGGTAGATCCATCGTTTATCAAATTTGTCCAGGAGTGATCACCGCCGTTTGACTTGTTTGTTTGTGCGTAACAAGTTGTGAGAGCATTTTCAGACCATTTTTAGTGGTTCAATTTTGCACACAATCTCAATCCCTGTCTAGAAGCCGGAAGAAATGAAACTGCAGAAGTTTTCTAGGGTTTTTCTAGTTCTTCATGTGCACTCTGTGTTCTGTTCGTTTGCATGTTGTAGACTTCTATCATAAAAAGGTTGGCTCACATGGCTTAAGTAATCATCTTCCGTCTCTTCCAACTTTTTAGTGAAGTTGATTCTTCCAGGTGGAGGTAACTTTCTCACTCAGATCTCCATCTTGCTTTTCTCATTGAAAATGCCTCACAGTGCCATCTGACCAAGTTAAAGCTCAGATCTGTGGGGATTTCTCAGAGTTGCATGATAAACCTGCCATACTTGTCCATTATGTGATTGCGTGACTTATTTTGAAAATCAGAAGTCATTATTTGCTCGCCCCTCCATCTCACCCTAACCCCGGGTCATCACAGCATTTCAAGTCAGGTCAAAAAACAGTGTATTGCGTGTATATTATGAAGGCCTTATTATAACTAAAAATTAGGCATAAATTAACATATCAAGCCACATGCGAGTGGAGTCTAGATCAAACCACTTTTCAATTCTAGAGCACAAATTCCTTGAACACCTCTGTGCAGAAAACCATGAAATCACACACTGTATAGACCATAAATTCACCCAATGTCAAGAACACATCTGCACATTATTGCACACGCTGTATTCTTCAGCTCCCAGTGCAGGTCTGTCCAGGACATGCACAGCTGACCTGACAAACCGCCATGAGTCCCTCTTCAATCGCCCTTCAGGTGCATCCAGGCATCAGTCCAATGAGAGAGCAGAGGTGATGATAATGATCCACTGGAGCTTCAGTCATGGGGAATGCTAATGATAGTGAGGGCCCAACGGAACATCTGCAGGCCTGTCCTCTCCTGGAGGTGTGAGGGGGGTAAAGGCCTTCACAGGGCGGAGTGAGAGCAAACTACAACATTTCTCACCTTTATGTGTGCCTTTGTAATGGGGCAAAGGACATGTACTGGACTGCAGTCACTAGGGCTGATATAAATGAATAAACAAGATGCTTCAATGACTAATAATAAATATAATGGCCATTTTTAAGTCATTTTAAAGTCAAATGTGTTTGATTGGAAAAAGACAAGATGTTCACCCAGCCAGAGCCACACAATTGTAAAATGCATTATTTAAAGCTTCAGCTGTTGTTGATTTCATGTGCCGAGTTGGTGTCATATTTGAAAGTCCTTTAGTGACGAGTCAGTGCTGAAAACAAGTGCACTCATCTGTTTCTCACAGTAATTATAAAGGGAAAAGCATTTCAAGGGCACTTCCAGCGGCAGTCGCCATCAGAAATCTATTTCTGAAATGTGAAATCACTGGTGAGGGTGATAGTGCTGGACCTGTGAAGGGTCTTTGTCATGAAAGGTGCTACGTACTCACATATTCTCACTTTAACATTTTACACTAATGATATTAATGTACAATGGATCTGTGCGTTCTCGGTTTTTCATTTAAGTTTTTATATAGATTTTCTTCTGACATTCACTCGAGAAGACAAGAGCATCTACAGGAGCTCAGTCTCCTGTGGCATGCTTTAAAACTAGGCTGTGCTCTCACTCAACACCAATACACTGTAAATGTGCAATTTCTTTTGGAATACATCTGGAAAATAGATTAAGGAGTATAAATATCAATTACAATAAGATACATTGGGCCATCTGGTGTCTTTAGTATAATAATATTACCATGTGAATAGAGAGTATTGTGCTATAACACACTATTTTGACTTCATTTTAGTTGAATCGAGAAAGGAAAAGCTATTTTTTAAGATTCTTGTCTTTTTCTCAAAACAGTTGCAGATGTAGCTACAGCTCAAGCTTGTGACACATGCTTCCTGTTCTTCATGTAGTATCGATGTAATTAATACCTTTTTTTATAGCCTCATTCACAGACCAAGATCTCAGCACGCTTTACTCTGTTTCTCGACTACACATAGTTTTCCATTTCCACTCCACTCACGGTGATGCCAGAAGCGAAAGTCCGCTCACTCATTATATTCCTACCTACTGTACATGTTTTAGTCGTGGGGTAACCCAAGCACAAAAAGACCCTGTCTGGAGTTAGAATCCAACCCAGGACCTTCTCGCTGTTAAAGTTCTAACCACTGCGCCACAACATGTAAACGTGGGTTATTTAGACAGTTATAATATAATTTAAAATGTTCTCTTTATTCAAATCAACATTTGGTAAAACGCAAGTGACGCTGGAACACGCGTGGCTCATCAAGACAAGTGCGAGTGAGCGTTCAAACGTGCGTTACGCGCGGCCGTTACCTGGGTCGTGGAAGGGCACCAAGGCGAAGTTGTAGAGTGGCCGCTTGGGTCTGTTCAGGGACGTCTCCAGGATCTTGGACGCGCCTTCGATAACCTGCACCAGGTCGTCGTACATAGAGCCGGTCACATCAAACACGAAGGCCAGCGTGGAGGCTCCTTCGGGGATGTCCTCCTGCCCCCGGGCTGACAGCGCCATTACGCACAGCCAGCAACACCACCAAGACGCGCTGCCCATCTCTCCCCAACAAGTCTCGTGCGTAAAAATCTTTAGACTTCAAGAGGAGACGCTCAGGGAATGCATACAAGTCATGAGAACGTACAGGAATGAATTGTGCTAAGCATAGAAGTTGGAGAGGTGAGATCCGCGCGGTTTGGAGGGATGTCCCGGTGTGGGCAGGGTTTGAGGGCACTCAGGGCGCCTCTTTCAGCTGCTCTAAAGACCACCTCTCTCACGGATGGGGAGTGGAGGGCGCGCTGCCTCCAAGGAGCCAGTGTCGAGAGCGAGCGGCCCGCTGATTGGACCGCGGATTTCTGGGTAAAAGAATTACTAGAGTTCCTCATAACAAAACACACCTTGGTTTTAAACCAAGTAACCACGTAGTGTTACTTAAGTGATGGAGACATCCTTCATTTCTCCCACAGTGCTGTACTTAATGTTTTTTCCCCAGTATAAATTAGCCTTTACTTGATTACCCTTTTACTTTTAAACCAAATAACTGTACATTAAAAAAAAAAAGTTGGTTACTTTGGAGATGACGACATTACATAAAAGGAGAAAGTGTCCCTAATCTAAATGAATTAATTGTAGTTAGCCATGCTTCTAAGTTCATTATTGTGATTAACCATACATCTAAGTTCAGAAGCTGATGTTAGTGTGTTTCCGTTTGACAATTGTATTGTTACAAACAGAAATTTGTACTTCTTTATTACTTCAGAAAAATAACGACTTTCATTCTATTACTTTTAGCTAAATAGTATTAATAGTATTAACATTTCGATACTACACAAATGCCAAAGGAAGGCATCTGATTGGTCAATCCAACGGTCAAGACTATATCAAAATATAAACACCAGAATCACATAAATACTGTACATCAGGAGTGTGGCTCTGTGGTTAGCACGTGCTTCACAACAAGAAAGTCTATTCCACCTCCACATGGGGCCTTTCTGTGTGGAGAGGACAAGAACGCTGCTAAAACCAAACTAATTTGGATACAACTTTGAATTTACAGAGCCAAGACCTAAAGAAGACATCTCAACAGTCGGCTGTTCCTTTAGGGCGATCTATGGTTGAGGAGCCCCATCAGGACCAGGGATGTTCTTGTTCTCATGACCACACCACCCAGAGAGGACACATGTGGACACTTCTGTTGCTGCTGAAGATGACACACACCCAGAGGACCGCAGTATTTGTCAAATGTTTCCCTGGATAACATGAGGAGGTTCAGAGACTTTCTGAGGAGCTTGTGATTCTTGAATCTCCTGAATACACTTCTGCTGATAGAGCGGCACGGTGGCTGAGTGGATAGCACTCTCGCCTCTCAGCAAGAAGGTCCTGGGTTCGAATCCCGGTTGGACCAGGGCCTTTCTGAGTGGAGTTTGCATGTTCTCCCCGTGTCTGCGTAGGTTTCCTCCGGGTGCTCCGGTTTCTCCTACCGCTAAAAATATGTACAATAGGTCTGGCATGTGCCTCCTGTACTGGCCCCACTCCCAATAATAACAATTGTAAACCGGTTTGAGACTCCGATGTGCAGTGAAAAGGCGGTATATAAATAAAGATTACTACTTACTGATAGATAGTGCCTGTTCAGCACCAAAGCAGCACTCGTCTCCAGAACATGCACGGACTGAAACAGGAGGTAAGTGTTTGGGATGTCCAGGACGCAACAACCGAAATGAACAGGTAGAAAGAAGCTACATATGAGGAGGTTTCCAAGGTTCATGAGCCCCAACAAGACCAACAACATTCTGTGTCTCAAGATGACTGCATCCAGACAGAGGAGATCACATCTTTTGACATTTCAGCTGCGACCACAATAAATCCATGAAGTTTGTGGCCAAATTTGCACGCAAAAGCCAGATCCCGTCAGACCAGGCTGTGCAGGGCAGGGCTTGGTTAGTGCTGTGATGGGAGAACTCTGAGGCTGTGCAGGGCAGGGCCTGGTTAGTTCTGTGATGGGAGACCTCTGAGGCTGTGCAGGGCAGGGCCTGGTTAGTTCTGTGATGGGAGACCTCTGAGGCTGTGCAGGGCAGGGCCTGGTTAGTTCTGTGAGAACACCAGGTGCCACAGAGGGGCGGTTGTGGCTGTTAAGTGCCAAACTGCCGTTGTGTCCTTAGGCAAGACACTTCACCTGCATTGCCTAGAATAAGGTGTGTGTGTGTGTGTGTGTGAATGGTTGATGACACAGAGCACCAACCCCTCACTGATCCTCCTGCAGTTGGTGAGTCCTCATAAGCCTTGATTTTCCAGCAGGGGCTTCAGGCAAAGTGGGGTTAAGTGTCTTGCCCAAGGACACAACTACAGCAGATATCAGTGGGAGTCATGAAGTAGGTCTTATGGTGGATTTGAACCCACGACCCTTAAGGCCTATAGGCCGATGCTCTACAACTGAGCTACTGTCGCCTGAACATCCTCCTGTAAATGTCCTCACAAATGAGGACACACACGCACATACACACACACACACATACACACACACACAGGCCCAAACACTCCCCGACCATACACCTCTCTCCTCCAGCTGCTCAGTGCTGAGGGCATCACTCTCTTTCCTCCTTGTACTTCTTCACTATTTCTTTTATACACTCTTTTAAATTGAATCAGGTTTGAACGCGTTTTGGTTTCATCAGATAGACCGTTCCACAGAGTAACTCCACACACGGAGATACACATTGATTTTAAAGTCGTTCTAAATGTAGATAAGTACAGTTGTTTGTTTCCTCTTAGTTGATACTGATGTGAGCGTCTCTATCATGGAACAGCGTTTGCAAACTCGGTGGGAGAGAGTTTTGCCCTGAACATTATTTGAGCAGTTTTAAATTGAATCAAGTCTTGAAGTTTAAGTTGTAACAAGTCTAAAAATAATGGGTGTGAAGGATGTCTATAGTGAACCTTTGATACATTCCTAATAGCCTTCTTTGCAAAGTGACTAAAGGCTGTAAGTGAGACTTGTAACAGTTTCCCCAAACTTCAATACAGGTGGAAAGACCATGTAATTGTTTGGTAGAGTCCTGAGACCTTGTTCACAGTCTTTTGTTTTTTTTAACAAAGTGCGTTGCAAATGTCTATTTCTCGCTTTTTGTCTAAGGACTACCACCCGAAGTTACAATGCCTGTCTGTGGAGCAGCCAATCACCTCATGCTCAAGAGGCAGATAGTCACTGACATGATTTTTGTCGTTCTCTTGACATCTTGAAAGTCAGGTGTATGTTTGGGCCTCAGCTGACGGTACTTCCGGAGTAGGTAAGGGTTAGGGTCAGGTTCTCGTCTGGTGTGGGACAGGAGGAAGGCTCCCTCATCTTGGTTTATGCTGTTGTTGCCTGAAAAAGGGCAAAACTATATATACAAAAATAACCTTTTATTTAGGTGTATGAATGTACACCTGAATGTAACGAGTGGGCCCAAAATAATTGTACCGATCACACTCATTTGAAATGGCTCTTGCTGAAATTCCGCCAAAATTACAGTGCTGCAATTGATCCACAATTGGTTTAACCTAGTCCTGGATCTACAGCCTGTCCATCCAAGGGAGTAGATCCCTCTCTCAGTGTGGGCTTCCCCAGTGTTTTGTTTTGAGGTGTTCCTCCAGGAGGGTCTAAGAACAGTCATTTATGGGCATTGGTCATCCCACCCACTACTATTAAATAATGTATACATAATTTGATTGATTTTTGTCAGATTGAAAATGACTAACTGTGAGCTACAATTTAATACTTTAGGCCTAGAGATGATTGGCTGAGCGAGGGTGGTTCTTTCTTTCCCCCGTGTCTTTCTGAAAAGTTAAGCTAAAGATGTGAGGCCAAAACAGTTTTTTGAGAAAGAAACTCATTTTCTTTAGTAGTCCCATCGTTGTGGTTTGAAAGTGACGTCTACATCTGTAACAACAATGTGTAATACTGAGATATATTATGACCTTTCAGAAACTTAAAGGGCCCTTTAACACCTTTTCTCACCCATGGAATAGTTGTTTGTATTAAATGCAATGCATTCAAAGTGTCACTAGAGGGAGCTCTTCCTCCACTGGAGGAGCTCCTCACATCAGCACGAGCTCTTTGTGTCTGTGTCAAACATTGTTTCCTGCAAACTTTAGATAGAAATTGAATGGTGTTTGACTACAACATTTTAAATTATATTAGCTGTCAAATCAATGATAGGCTTGACGTTAACAAAAGAAGAAAGAAAGAAAGAATCTTATAATCTTGTGAATATTCTGGGACAAAAAAATAAATGTATTAATGATCAGCAGTAGTTATACACCGGACTGTAGCCTTGTTTCCACCTCAATGGCATGTTATACCTCATCATGATTCATCAAAAACATTATGTTGTCCACACCTTCTTTAGCTTTAGTCCAGCTTTGGTTCAATCCAAGCAAGAATTCGAAAGACCGCTAATAATGCAATGCATCTTCAATAATTTACTAATTTCCTATAAACGTGTCCCATATTTAAAAAAATAAATGGAAAATAAATAAATAAATTGCTTCAGAGACAACAGATCGGCAAACACACAACACAAACGATAAGATTTGAACATTTGTGAATAGTTTTTAAAATCAAAAACACACATTATTACATTAATAACAGTATCTTACATTGAAATATGTTGTTCCATCTAACTACATGGAAACAAATCCAATCATCCACAATACACTGACATCCCACTGTGGCTCGCAGGAGAAAATAATTGCCCACCCCTAGAATAATAAGGCTCTTCCCCACTTACTTACATTGTGCATTTTCCACACAACTGATGACAAACTCAGGTGGAGCAACTTTCCATATTTGCAGTGTGAATGCAACCAAAGAGAACTGACTGGTTTCTCTGACTGAGAGACCACATAGGGACCAGCTTTCTGGATGACATATTTCTTAATTTTCTTATCTTAAGTGTGCAGACTTACATGGAAACATTCAAATCCAATCCAGACCTCAGTGACCAGAACACACCCCATGACCAGGGTCAGCTTTGCATGCC